TCAAATAGTCTCAGGAACATGGCCTAACTGGGCAATTGCTTGCTGAGTGGTATTTTTTCTTTAGTTTTCCTGACAGCCAGAGACAGTTAATAATGAGGGAGGTTTTTTCAGCCTGGAAAATTTCCCTTTTGTTAGATAGTGCTGGGCAACATGCTCAAGCACAAATCTTCCAACAACAACCCCACCAAGATGCCTCTTGGGAAATCCTCTTCCTAAGAACTCATAGACGGTAGTGTCAACCCAGCCTAAAACCATGTGATGGGACAGAATTTAGAGCCTGCACAAGCTTCCCCAACCTCAGCTCTGAGCCTGACATCCCGAGCAAAGGACAGGGTGCTTCCCAACAGGATCAAGGTGGAAGTTGGCTCCAGTGGGTCAAAGCAGCCTGGAGGTGTAGACACACAACCCGTCTGACAGTCACAGGATACCTGGGAGTTGATGGTGAGAAACAGGTCTGCTTGCAGACATCCCCACCTCCCAAGGCTCCTCCTCTCAGCCTTCTCTTCCCAGGTGGCTACCTTTGCCTCTGCTAGACACTCTAGTCCTGATGATTGATCTGAGGAGGGTTCAGGAAGGTCCCCTTCCATCCACACATCTGTATTCATTCCATTCTGCTTCTGGGGGAACTCTTGCCATCTTATCCTATCTCTAGATTTTTTTTTGGTGGTGAAGAGTTTCATGAAAATCATTGTGGGGGAGAATAAGAGGGAAAGGAGCTAGAGAGAAACAAGATAGATGCATGTTCCTGAGGGGGTTGTGTATGTGTGTGTGCATGTTCATATATGAACCTTGGTCCACCTATATTTTGGCTTGTGCCTTTCATAATAACAGCTAACAGGTATGTAGCCATTTAATTTTTACAAAGTATATTGCAAATGTTATTTCATCTGATCTTCACAAAAATCCTGTGAGGTAGATGCTATAATTACTCCCATTTTAAAGATGGGGAAACTGAGCCTGAGAGAGATTAAGTGACTTGTCCAAGGTCACACAGCTAGTCAATGTCAAGGTTTTAACTCAGCTTCCTGACTCCAAGGTCAATATTATCTGTATTCATTGCACCAACAAGCGGCCCTTCTCTGCCTCCAGTTTTCCTGTGCCCTCAATGGAATAGGTGTCATCCAGCTTGGAGTCATGAGCTTGAAGAAATCATATGGGATCATCTTGTCTAGCCCTCTGCCTTCTGTCAAAATAAAACCCGAAAAATACACAAATTGCCCTTCTGTTAGTTATCCTCAGGGGCAGAAATTTTATGACTTTCACTAGGAGTATACAGAGAACAGAAGAGACAGGGCTCCTTCCCTCCTAGAACTTGAGGTCCTCCTCCCTCCCAAAGCTTAGTTCTCCTCCCAAAGCTCTCCTAGCACTAAATCCTGCTCAGCTATGCTGGTTTCCTGTAAATCACCAAGGCTGGAGTCTGGAAGGACTCTTAGTGACTGTCCGCATAGTCTAAGCCCTTCATTTTACAGATGGGAAAATTGAGGGCCAGAGATGAAAATGCATCATGGCCAAGGTCATGCAGTGAGTGAGTCAGTGGGAGAGCCAAGATTGGATTCAAGTTCTCCCAGAGCAGGGCTCTTTCCCATAGGCAGCTGTGAGAGCATAAAAAAAGTAAAAAGATCCAGAACACCAGAGAAGGAAGCCTGCTTCTTCCACTGAAGAGTTCTGTGTGCTCCTGGGAAGTCACTTGAGGTTCCTGAGCTGCAGTTTCCTTAGCAATAAAAAGGGTGGAGGGAATAATAATTGTACTGAAAGCGGACAGAGAGCTAGCCTCCGAGCCAGGAAGGCCCGGGTTCAAGTCCCACCCAATGACTAACAGTGCGGAAACTCCCTGAGCTGGTAAGTGGTAGGAAGGATGCCGACCTGCACTGGGAGAAGGAGTTTCCTCATTCAGGAGTTCCCGATGCCAGCGACATCCCAAGGCAAGCTCTTCTCTCTAACGCTTGCGCTTCCTCCCTCCCAAAGGAGCAATGAGGATCCAGTGATGTAACGCTTGGAAGGATTCCTTAGCGGATCGGCAGCTGCAGCGTGTGTCCACATCAACACCAGCCGCTGTCCGCCTCGATCTCTCCGCAGCTGAAGCCCCCTTCCCATTGTCTGCCCTCTGAGGAGGCAAGAAGCAACAGCGCCCGCAAAAGAGGTAGTGTGTGATCCTCACCCAGTCCCCAGAAGGAGAACCCCAGCCTTGGGGGAGTGACTTGCACAAGGTCTCTCAGTCGGTGGGTGTCAGGAGTTGAACTCAGGTCTCTTCTGGCTGAGTTTTGTGCTTTTTTTCATCACATCACACTACCTCAAAGTAGCAGCAATTCGGCATCTAATAATCACTGGCTTTTCATGTGGCCCTTTAATTAGCTCAAAAATCACTTACATGCTTACATGATCTCCCAACAATGTTGAGAGGAAGGTGGGTCCAGGGACCATAAATTTAGAGCTGGAATGAACCTGAGAGGCTAAACCCAGCTTAAAGATCATGAAACTGAAGCCCATGCTCACAAAGCTAATGAGTTACCGAAGCTGAATTTGAATGTGGACCTCCCCGACACCATATGCAGCATTCTATGCCCTATGCCTCTGCCTATTATACAGAAAAGGCTATGCCACACACAGAAGAGGGATTGATGAGGGCTCCTTCATCTTTATTGTGGGAGGGACCCCCGTGGCTGCAGTCTAGGGAAGCTCGGGGACTCTTTAGAACCATGTTTTTAAATCCACAAAATAAAATACAGAAGATTTCAAAGGAGTAAAAAAAAAATCTATTCAAATGCAACCATGTCCAAATATTTTAAGAACAATTTCACATACTTCAGGTTAAAAGTTCCCGGATTAGACTTAGTTCCTCTCTGCAAGTGACTTATTAACTAGACTGGGAGTTAGGTCATAGAGAAATAAAAGATAGAAAGCACAGCTCTTTTGGTGCTCGTTGGGTAATCTGCATAAGCAAGACATTAGGACTATCTGAGGCTGGAAGGGTGGGACATGACTGGCACCTAGAAGATGTCCTGGAGGACAATAATCAGAGGAAAGAAAGTAAAGAGCCAGGGCGTGCCAGGGAGGGAGGGGCCTGTGGAAAGCCCAGAGGTGAGAGGGTTGGGAGAGCAAGGAAAAGCCTGGCCGGGCCAGAACAGGGGCTCTGTGGAGGGAGGAAGGGAGAGAAGAAGAATTTCTATAGCACCTACTATGTGCCAGGCACTGTGCTAAGCACTTTCTGCAAATATTATCTCATTTGACAATATGGAGCAGAGAAGGTAGAGAGAAGAGGTGGGAGAAGCAGGCAGTGTACGTGGTGTGGGGGAAAGACAACTAGATTTGAGGACCCGATTGCTACTTTCCACCTGTATGACCTTGGTTAAGTCTCCTAACCTTCCAGGACCTCCATTTCCTTAATCATAAGAGACCCTGCACCAGATGACCCCATACCTCCCCTCCATGACTCAACGGTGGATCCTCTAGCAGATCAAGCAGAGGAGCCCTAGGGCATTTCCCTTTCCAAGCCCAACCAGCTTCAGCCCTAGCCCCAGTCCAACCCTTCCCATGAGCCTCCTCTTCTGATGCTTCAGTAGACAGCATATTGCCTCCAACGTTCCACACCATCCACCATGTTGTATTTTCATTAAGTAATTCTAGGTCTCTTGGTTCTTAGCCATGCACCTCCAGCTGCCCTGAGAATAACCACTGGGCCTTTTCCTTCTTCATCTGTCCTCAGCACCTGGCTCAGTGCAAAGTACATAATGGGTGCTTCCAGATTCTTCGTTGTCCTTCAATGGAAGCGTCACCTCCAACACAGGACTGTTCCTGGGTCACCCTTTTGTGGGCCTTCTGTCCCTTGAAATGACTTTGTGTTACTTTGTCTACACTGTTTTAATGTGATTCATGCAACGATCACTTGCTAAATGCCTTCCTGTGTGGTGGGTGCTGAAGACATAAAGACCCAAAAACGAAACCATCCCTACGCTCGAAGAGTGTCCAAAGGACGGTGCATGCGCTTGTGTGCATATTGCCTGCCCCATGAGAATGTCACCTCCTGAAGGCAGGGACTGTTTCCTTATTGTCTTTGTATGTGTCTAGCACAGAGCCTTGCACGTAGTTAGGGCTTAGTAAATTCTTGCTAAAGTTCTTGAATCAATTGCTCATGAAGAAATCAATAAAGATACAACCAGGTAACACAGTGGATAGAGCTCTGGACGTGGAATCAGGAAGTCTTGAGCTCCAATCTCACTTCAGATTTGATTTCAAATCCTAGCTGTGCGAGCCTGGGAAAGTCACTGAATCGCCATCTACCTCAGTTTCTTCATCTGTAGAATGGGCATAATGATAGCACCAACCTCCCAGGATGGTTGTGAGGATCAATTGAGAAAATCTTTGTAAAGGGCCTCCCCAATGTGCTTTCTATCTTTTATTTCTCTATGACCTAACTCCCAGCCTAGTTAATAAGTCACTTGCAGAGAGGAACTAAGTCTAATCTGGGAACTTTTAACCTGAAGTATGTGAAATTGTTCCTAAAATATTTGGACATGGTTGCATTTGAATAGATTTTTTTTTTACTCCTTTGAAATCTTCTGTATTTTATTTTGTGGATTTAAAAACATGGTTCTAAAGAGTCCCCGAGCTTCCCTAGACTGCAGCCACAGGGGTCCCTCCCACAATAAAGATGAAGGAGCCCTCATCAATCCCTCTTCTGTGTGTGGCATAGCCTTTTCTGTATAACAGGCAGAGGCATAGGGCATAGAATGCTGCATATGGTGTTGGGGAGGCCCACAAAAGTTACATAGTACCTTCCATGTGCCAGGCATGACACTAAGTGTTTTTTACAAATATTACGTCATTTGATAAAGCTCTTTGCGAACCTTAAAATGCCATATAAATGCTAGCTATTATTATGAATGAGTAAATGAATGAATGAACTTCTGTGTCATTCTGCTCACAGGTGTACCTGGGGTCAATAGTGCCCAGTGAGACTGTGAAATCTCCTTCTCCATGCTCTGAAGGAAGCAGCAGTCATGATGTTCAGTTTCTGGAATATCATCAGCACGAGAACGTTCTACACCATCGTCCTCTCCCTCACAGTGTTCACTGGCCTGGGCGGGCTGGTGGGAAACGGCCTCATGCTCTGGCTCCTGGGCTTCCGAGTGAGGAGGAACCCCTTCTCCATGTACGTCCTCCACCTGGCAGGGGCCGACTTCCTCTTCCTGGGCTGCCAGACTGTGTTCACCATCCTTACCTTCACCCAGGGCTCCCAGCAGCTCTACCTGGTGGTCGTGTTCCTCTGGTTCTTCACCGGCCTGGGCCTGCTGGTGGCCCTGAGCCTGGAGCAGTGCCTGGCGGCCCTCTTCCCCAAGTGGAGCCGCTGCCGGCCAAAGCACACGTCGGCCTGCGTGTGCGCCCTGGTGTGGGTGCTGTCCGTGCCGCTGGTCTTGGTGCCCAGCCAGGCCTGTGGCTTACTGACCGGGGGCGGCTCGTGGCTCACGTGTTTCCGGTACCACGTGGTGAGCGTCATCTGCATGTTCCTCCTCTTCTCGATCCTCTGTGTAGCCAACTTCGTCCTGCTGGTGCGGGTGCAATGCTGCTCCCAGAGCGGGCAGAAGCCCCCGTTCTACTGCTACGTGCTCCAGCTGGTCCCTTTGTTCTTCTTCTTCGGGCTCCCCTTCCTCGCCTACTGGACTTTAAAGAACACCATGGGGTCCCTCTTGTGGTTTTTTTCTTTCTTCTTGTCCATTGCCGAACTCCTGGCCTGCGTGAACAGCAGCACCAAGCCCATCATTTACTTCTGCGATGCCAACCACAGGCGGGAGCTCCAAAGGGCCTGGCCCCGGGGAGGGAAGAGCAGGTTTGCGGAGGCTCTGGAGATGACAGCCTGAGCCCCAGGCACACTGACCCAATTCTCTGTGGCAGAAGTCTGCCGGGTCACCCAGCTATTCATACCCAGACCAAAACAGCTTAGATCAGAGTGTAAGCTCCTTGAGGGCAGGGACCGACTCAACTTTGTCTTTGTATCTCCAAGGCCTGAAATAGTTTCTGGCACATAGTAGGACCTAATAAATGTTGAACTGAGTTAAGATTGATGAGCAGTGAGAACCCTCCCCAAGTGGAAGGGGCAGCCTCCAGGGGGAGCGATCTTCCCCTCAGTGAAGACTTTTAAAAATAGGCTGAATAGACTCTTGTTTATCTACTGAGATTCTGCTCAGATCCAGGTTAGAGTGGATTAGTAATGGGAACCCTACCAACGCTGGAGGGAGGTGAATTGAATTGAATTGGACAGTAGGACAGTAGAAAGTGCCCTGGCTTTGGAATCGGGGTGCCTCTGACAGTTACTGCCAGTGTGACCTTGAGGGAACCATTTAACCTCTCTGGGCCTCAGTTTCCTAAACTGTAAAATGATGGCAGCAAGGTGGCTCAGTGGATAAAGCACCAGGCCTGGAGTCAGGAAGACCTAAGTAAAAAATCTGCCCTTGGGCACTGACAAGCTCTGTGACCCTGGGCAAGTCACTTCACCCCATTTGCCTCAGTTTCCTCATCTATGAAATGAACTGGAGAAGGCAATGGCAAACCCTTCCAGTACCTTTGCCAAGAAAACCCCAAATAGGATCACAGAGAGTCAGACATGACTGGAAAATGACTGAACATCTACTGGAATAGATGGTTCCATCTGTCTCTGAATCACAGATGCTATGATTTGGTTTGATTCGAATTGAATTGAAATCGAGGAAGAGATTCCCACTCTTCTAAAATCGTTTCAAAAGCAGCTGAGTCTGGCCTCCGGTTGTGGCCGGAATGGCTTAACCAAGGTCAAGCCACTTCCCCACCGGGCCTCAGTTTCTTCCTCTTTCACACGGAGATAATTTACTCCCTCTTGCTCTAGACATGGGCCTCACCAGGGTTATCACAGCCCATTCTGTGCTCACCAACACTGAGGGGACTCACAGCCTCGGGTTTCCCTCAACCTGCAAAGACAACTGAGTAATAGGGACAAAAAGGGGCTCTTGGAGGGAATCGGGCTGGAGGAGATTTGGGAATCGGGGTTGGGGAGGGCGTTGGCTAATGAGAACAAATGAAGAGGGTCAAAGAAACAGTGTCAGGAGGGATTCATCTGGCCTCCTTCCCTCATTCTACTCATGAGGAAACAGGCTAGAAGAGATTAAGTAACTTCCTCAAAGTTACACAGGTAGTAAGGGTAAGAGGCAAGATTTGAGCACAGAGCCTCTGATTTCAACCCCAGAATTGTTTTTCCCACCGACCTCTACCAGGAGGTTTTAGGTCCTGGCCCGGCTTCTACCAGAGCCCACAGTCCTCAGAGGTCAGACTTGTGTCCCGCACCAGGCTCCATGCCCAGGACAGGGTATCGGGCCCTGCCGCTGGGATGGCGATCAGGAAAAACCGTCTTCTCCCCTTGTTTAGAATGCCCATCTATCTGGAATGAACAAGTGAATAGCATTCACTGAACACTTAAATGTGCCTGGCACTGTGCTGAGTGCTGGGCATGCAGCTACAAAAGTGAAAAGACTCTGCCCTTGAGGAATTTGCAGTTTAATGGGGGAAACAATACCTAGGGGAGTGGAGGCCAAGCCGGAGCAGTTATTTTGGAAAAGTTCTGAGGCTAGTGAGTCCCTTATTTTCCCAGAAGCCTTCCCTAAGTCCCTGCTTTCCCATTTCCTTACGGCCCCAGGTGATGTTCAGGTATTCACTGGGCCACATCTTACCAGCTGCCTCCACTCCCTGCTTTGTCCTGGGCCCCTGAAGCTGAGCCGGCTGAGCAGGCAGCCCCTTCCCGGGAGGAGGTCTGGGGCGAGAGGCACAGGCTGTTCATTCCTCCTCAGTGCCCAGCTTACACCCAAAAGCTCCCTCACCAGGTCCTTGTGGATACAGGTCCTTATGGAATAACCGTCCCATACCAAGAGACACATTGGTTTACCAGACAGAGGATTCAAATTAGGAAAATATCATTTCCTAGCTGGCACAAGGAAAAGGGAGGAGGCTGCTTCTGCTTGGCCCTGAGGGCAGAACCAAGCATGGTGGGTGGAAGGCTGGCCCCAGGAGCAGAGACTTCCTCAGAGGGCAGTCAGGTTCCCCTCACTGTAGAATGTAAGAGGAGTGGGCAGTTAGGTGGTGCAATGGATAGAGCACCGGCCCTGGAGTCAGGAGGACCTGAGTTCAAATCTGGCCTCAGACCAAACACTTGACACTTACTAGCTGTGTGACCCCAGGCAAGTCACTTAACCCCAATTGCCTAAATAAAAAAAAAGAAGAATGTAAGAGGAGGTGCTGTCCCATTGTCTGTGATCTTGCAGAGGGGATTCTTAATTAGCCTTTTCATTTTTATTCAGTCGATGCTCAGACCTATTTGTCCAGCCCTAAGCACTGCTGACTTCCAGACTCAAATCTCCAGATACCTCGGATGGATGCCCTGCAGACATCTTAAATCCAACACGTCCAAAACTGACCTCATTCTCTTTCCCCCTCAACTCTCCCATCTTCCTAATTTCCCTATCGCTGTCAAGGGTCCCACTATCTTCCCAATCTCCCAGGCTGACAACCTAAGGGTCATTCGGGCCTCCTCACTCCTTTTCACCACCCCCAGATCCAATCTATAGGCCAAAGCTGTCCATTTAACCTTTGTTCTCTATGTATCTGTGCCCTTCTCTCTTCTGACTCCACCATCACCTTGGCACAAGCCCTTGGCACCTTCTGCTTGACTTCCTGGCTGCAAGTACGGCCTCACTCTGGTCCATCTTCTAACCGTCAAAGTGATATTCCTAAAGTGCAGGGCAGACTAGGTTACTCCAGCCCCAGGTAATAAATTCCTTTGGCTTCCTATAACCCCGGGATCAAACATAACGTCCTGATTTTATACGACTTAGTCCCCCATGCCTTTCCAGTCTTCTTACCCCTCCTGTCCCTCCCTCTTCGATCCAGTGACACAGGCCTCTTATTTCATCTCTTAACTCCAGGCATTTTCACTGGCTGCCCCCCACACTGAAATCCTCTCTCTCTTCATCCCCACTTCCCAGCTTCCCCGGTTTGCTTCAAGTCTCCAATAACACCCCACCTTCTGCAAGAAGCTTTTCCAATCCCCCTTAAAACTAGGGCTTTCCCTAGCTCATCTTCTACATATTTGTTTGCTTATTGTCTCTCCCATTAGATTGCAAGCTCCTTGAGGCCAGGGACTTTCCTTTGCCTTTCTTCGTATCTCTGTGTACTGGGCCAGACACACAGTAGGTGCTTAATAAATGTGTGTTGATTTGACTTACCTTGGGCCAGTCCCTGCAACTCTCTGGGCCCTAGCTTTTTCACCTGAAAAATGAAGGCATTGGACTCTCTAAGGCAGGGGTGGGAAACCTGTAGCCTCAAGGCCACATGTGGCCCTCTAGGTCCTCAAGTGCAGGCCCTTTGACTGACTCCAAGCCTCACAAAACAAATCCCCTTAATAAAAGGATTTGTTAGGTAAAACTTGGACTCAATCAAAAGGCCGCACCCGAGGACCCAGAAGGTCGTTTAGGCTGAAAGTTCCCCACCCCTGCTCTAGGGGGATCTCTAAGGTTCCTTCCAGGGCTAATCCTAATAAAACCAAGTAAGTGCTTCACAAACTTTTGTTGACCTGAGTTAAACGCACTGCTCCCCACACCTGAAGCCCAGACTCTGGTCCGTGGAGACCATAACCTTAGAGCAACTTCGGAGGTCACCTAGCCCAAGTGCCTCATTTGAGAGATGAGGAAACTGAGGCCCAGACAAGCCAAGTAATTGGCCTGGGTAGCAAGTAGCAAAGGCAGGATTCAAATCCAGGCCTCTGCCTCAAGCCTTCATTTCACAACAGCCCACTGCCATCATCCTACTAAAGCACATCCTAGATCAATTCTCCAGCAGTCCTCAGCCTTACTGACCAAATGAAAACTTTCTTAAAAGCCTTCCAAACCAGTGACCACCCTGAACAAGTGTGTGGACTTGAATTCTCAATATTTGGGGCAGCTGCCGGCCTTCTCCATAGGCATGAGAGGACCTTCCCTAAACGGTGCTCACCAAATAAGGGGCCCTATGAAGGCCCCTCGATTTCCTCCCCAATATCACCTCACACACAGACAGTGCTCTGAATGTTATCAGCAGCTCCGTACCCATTCCCTGCCCCCACCCACCTCATCTACCAGCCCACGAGTGGCTTCTTCTCTCCGGGAATGAGCAGTGACTCGAGCCTCGGCCCTCCCCAATGGACCCGTTTCTAATTTTTAAAAGGCGTAAATCCCCATCACGTTTGGAAAAGTCCAGAAGGATGAGAAATTCAGTGTCTTTCTTTGTAATGCGCTGAAAAGAGTGCCGGCTCGTATCCTACCTGTGACACTTACTACTAATGCAGCCACGGCCGAGCACCTTCCCCTCCCCAGGCCTTACTTGGCTCCTCTGTAAAATGAGCAGGGTGCACTTACGGGCTTAAGAGCTCCTTTCCAGTTCGCTGGCACACCTGGCTGCAGTGTCAGGCGTCAACATCAGTTACAGGGAGGAACCAGGGAAAGGTCAGAAACAATACCACACAGGGCCACAAGGGGGGGATGTTTCTCCACAAAGCCATTGCAAGTCGGCCAAACTAGTCATTGACTTATTCAACGAGCATCACCCTAATTCCAGGTCTAACGTTGCTCAGCTCTGAGGATACAAAATAAAAAAGGCAAAAACCAAGGTCTTCCCCCTCAAGAAGTTCACATTCTGAAGGAGGAGACTTGTGCATCCTGGACGGACACAGAGGAGATGGATGGTGATCCCAGAGGGGAGACCTCAGCAGCGGGGGATGTAGAGTCTAGAAGGACGCTGGGAAAGACAGGGAACAAAGATGGGGGGGGTGGCACTCCAGGCATCAAAGACAATCGGTTTAAGT